TCCAACTCTAACTATTCTATGATTCTATGATGTGTGTGTTCTGTGTGTTCTGCAATGCTGCTGTTACTCGAGGCCCAGTGGCAGTGTAACAACTTCTTAATGTGTCCTGTGCCTGAGAGCACCACGTTCTTAAATGTTTTCCAGAAAAAGGCAACTCGTGTTAGTACTGCGTCATAGATCTTCTCAAGGGAGTGGGAGGATGAGTGCACCACGATTGTCATACAGAAGGTGTAAAGGGAACTTTGGGCAGGTTGTGGTAGTTGGCACTTAGTTGGCAGTTTAAGAGTAGGATCAAACCATGAGGAACATCAGGTGCCGTTGTAAGATATTTCTGTAAATCTGAACATATGTCAATATGAATGGATTCTGCTTCTGAGAAACTGACAGCCCCATAAAATCGCTGTGGGAATCCAACGTTGGGAAAATTTGCAGTGTGTGGAATAGGATTCAGAGTTCAGCTGGTGTTGGTTGTGCAGTTACGTAGTTGCTCCATGTCTCTATGCTGAGGCTTTGCCACTGGACAGCTTTCCCAACGCCATTTCTGGCTGCTGGTTCCCTCGCTCGGCACTCTGCAGTGGAGTGTGTTGGCTTTAGGTGTTGTGGAGGTTTTTGTATCCTTCTGACTGGGCTTGTGGTAGGATCCGTGACCAGAAGATACATGCCTTGGATTCTCTATCTAAAATTCCTGCACAGATAACTGTAAAACATCATGGCTTATGCCTTCTTAATATGTTTGGAACGACCTTTGCCTTTTACCTTTTCAGTCCCCAATGGCTTTGTAGTGAATCGGTGCCTGAAATCCCATTATTCATGGTTCCTTTTTCCTATTTTGTATGCCAAATCTTGTCTTTTGGGAGTTTTCACCTACGTTTTTCAGACTTCCTTCAAGCCCTTCATTTCATTCCCTCTCTTTTTCTTTCCCAGCTCCTACTCTTTTTCTCCCAGTCCAGTTTTATGGATTTTTGTGTTCCCTCTGAAGACTCCCCTGCTCTCAGCTACTGCAGTCTCTCCTCCTGTCTGGGTCTGCCTTGAGTTCCCCCACCTTCATGTGCGTAAACACTTCTTTCCCCTCACTTTACGTCCTGTTCAGAAGATGTGTGTTCTTGCCCCGCACCGGCGGGCACAGCATGGGGCACAGCACAGGGCACAGGAGGTGCCCGTGCCTCCAGAGGGATGGCTTATACGCTGAACTACTGCCATTTGGCTACTGCTGTGCTTCCAGAGGAGCCTGCTGTGACAGGGATGAATCTTTATCTGAGTTGGAAATTTGGCTGGAAATTTAGAGCTACATTTTGAAAATGGAGTACGGTGTGAGAAAGGGAATAAATCTCATGGGCAAGGCACTAAGACTGCAAGTGGTGGTTCTGGCAGAGTTTCAGTATGGCTTTGGAGTCAGCATTGGCTCAAGTTTTCTTTGTGTCACTCTTCTAGCTGTGTAGTCAGCATAAACATAATTTTTGAGTGCACACAGGGCTAAAAAGCTTAAGAGCTTGTACCGTACTTGGGAAGCTCAAGGTGGAATTTGCTGCGAAAGTGAAGTAATTATTTTGTGTTTATTTATGTATCTGGTTCCAAAGTTGAAGAGAACCTTTACTCAAAACTATTTTTACTGGCGAGATAGACATGATTCCTCCTAAAACCTTGACCCTGGAGCAAGATGGGTGCAAATGTTGCTGGAGGAGTGGGACTGTCCTGTTTCTCCTTGGGTCTCCTTGAAGGAGGTGGTACCCTCTTCTTCAGAGTGTCTGTCTCTGACTGATGAAAAATGTCTGTTGCTTTTTATATAGAGTGCTGCCTCATTCAAAGAAAACAGCAGTACCACAGCTGGTATAAACGAGACAGAGGAGCAAACTGAGAAGAACTCAGAAACCTTGGACATACCACCACAAGGTATTTGGTTAGTTTTTATGTGCAGCGTTACAAAAGTGCTTATTCTGAATATTTTATTTTATGCATGGAAACATTGTGATACAGATATCTATGTGAATAGAACAAAGTTTATAAATATATTGATGTTTTGATAACACTTGAGTTTTGTTGACATTTCTATTAATGATTGTTAAATGCAGGGAGAAAATAGGACAGATAGGAAAATGGATTTTGTCCTCACACTTATTTTAATTTATTTATTATTTGTGTTTATGTACGTTTGTTATGTGTATGTACAGTTGTGTATTATTATGCATATGTTTATGTGTGTTTATGGGTGAGACACACCATCTTTATGAATCTGCCAGGCTGTCTGGAGAGATTGACTTTTCCTTGGAAAAGAAGGATTCAAGCGCGTGTAACGGCAGGCACTCAGGTAGTGTAGGTGTTGCTGGGTGTTACTTAAACATGTGCTGAAAGTTAGATATGTGCTGATGCACTTTGCTAAAAGAAGACCTAATTCTGGCAACTAAAACTGTTTGTCTGTCCCACATAAGTTAAATTACAGATGTCTTCAGTGTTGTGGTGTCACTTGGTTTAGTAAGACTGAGTTTTCTGGTAGCACTGTCTTAAATAAAACAACGGCAAACTATTTGCATGGTTTGGCTGAACTGTACAGCCCTTTTCTTGCTGTAAGAAAAACCAAACCCCACCCCACAACACTTTCTTCTGGGCACAGTCCAAGCAACTGGTTGTCAGACTGGGCTGCAAAGACCACCCAAACAAGGTGGTTTTCAAGAGAACATAAAGAACTTGGGCTTCTTTTGGAGGAATTTGCTGTTTTATTTCGGTGAGGCTTTGAAAAGCCCTACCATGGTATTAGGTGAAATGTATGTGCACAGAAGTGTACGAATTGTACCTGGATGTCTTCAAGCTTGTTTAGCTGCTTCACTAAGGAGAGAAGGCTTCTGAAACTGTGCTTTTGCTGGCATTTTAATGATCTGCAAACCCATTCCACCACTTTTCAGAACAGAGTTTGAAAGGATGCTCAGTTACCACAAATCCAGTGAAAACGGGCAGCCAGGTAGAGGAGAGAGAAAAAGCAAGAATGCAGTGACAGGGAGAAGAGCGAGAGCTACTGCAGTTGTCTGGATTTAACTTCATCGTACCAGTGTTAAGTTAATTTAGCTTGGGAAAAGGAATAGTTTTGTTTAGAAGACATTTCAATATTTTTGTATTATTATTTTAAGAAGCAAGTTAAAGGGCAGGCTACCACTGTGGCTGGTAGTAAAATGGTTTTTACCTCCTGTAAACTTTTTTGCTCAGAATAACTGCAAAAGGATGTTATGTTGTGTGAATACAGTAGAATAAAACCTCTGCATAATGCAACTAAGTCTGACATTACAAAATCAACACCATTCTCACTCGTTTTTTAAAAAGCTTGAAGACAGTTTATGTAGAGATTTGCCATTTTTTGAGATTATCTCACTCTTGAAAAGCAAATTTCATACCACTTGCAGTAGCTGTTTTTTATAGTATTGAAGGCTTTTACTTGATCCCTGTCAACAGAAATTTCCAGTCTCCTTCTGTAACAAAGTTTTATGTCAGCTTGTTTTGGTGTTTTTTTAGGGAAAATATTTCTAGGCATTTTTGTCCATGGCATCAGTGCCTTCTAATAACATTTTCCAATGAACTAAAACTTAAATTTATCCATATATGTAATATATACATAATTATGCATAGAAAAAATACAAATTATCTTCATTATGTGAAAATTTTGTTTCATGTTAAAGCTCTTTTGCTCTTCATAATTATCATCTTTCCCCTTCAGCACATGACATGTAGGTGCCTTATATCTTTTTATTTGCCTCATGTCTTACTAAACCTGTCCAGAAGCTACTGTCTTGTATACTTGTGAAATTCTTCTGCGGTTAATCATAGAATCACAGAATGGTTAGGGTTGGAAGGGATCTCAAAGATCATCTAGTTCCAGCCTCCTGCCATGGGCAGGGAAAACCTCCACTACACCAGGTTGCCCAAAGCCTCATCCAACCTGGCTTAAACACTTCAAGGGATGGGGCAGCCACAACTTCTCTGGGCAATGATGTGACTTGTTTTGTCAGTAAAACCTTATTCCTATGTAAAGCGTTTTTAATTGACTGCAAAGTTAGAGCAGAGACAAATCTGTTAAAAACCTCAGTACCAAAACAAGAGCTTTTCGTTGTCCAGCTGTCTTCCCCCACGTTTCAATTAATTGTTAAACAATTTGGCCAGCACCAGCAGATGGTGCTGAAATGCTGCAGAGCGTAGAGCGCTTCAAGCACGTGAGCTTTTCGTGCAAAAGAGTGATAAATAGAAGTGGGAAATTTCAGCATCTTTGTTTCAGCGCCACATTAACTCACGGTGTGTGGTTGTTTTTTAGTTCAGGCTCCACTGAGGCAGGAGGAGGTGAACGAAGAAGAAGAGGCGATACCTGATGGGAACACTGCTGATTTGCGACAGCTGGTGCCGGTGGGTGGCGTGTACCACATCGCCGCACTGCAGCTGCCGCCTCAGGGCAGACAAGTGGGGGACTGGAGCATGGTGGAGGTAAGTGAGGAAAGAGATTCCACCCCATGTAGCCCTCTTCCCTGTCATCCTTGAAAAGCTGTTCCTGAGGTGTGGCTCCGCTGTACGTGTGCAGCGCACGTGATTTCTGGAGAACTGAAGGACCAAGTTTTCAAATCATTTTTCAGTTACTCTTGGCCAATTTTTGGAGCAGCTCAGACTGCTCTTAGGGAGATGCGTGCTCAGTCAGAGCTCCTCAGCACAGCTAGCACAGGCCGTTGTGCTGGAAAACACGCTCGGCCAAAGCAAAGCAGAGTGAGAAATGCTTCGTTTTTTGTGTGTGAAAGGCCCACTTAAAGAAGGGTGGTGACAAAACTACTGCCAGTGCAGTTCCAGGCTCTGCGAGATATTTGGGGATTGTAGCCAACGTGTTCTAGTTTTCCCACTCGTGGAGCCTGATGCAGCCCTAACCTACGTCATAGGTTTTACTGTGAAGCTGAAAACATTTAGTAAGTGAAATTCCCGTGTAAAATAAGAAAGCAGGACTGCGGGCAGATCGAGAGGCAGGGGATCATCATTCTCTTTGACGCTGTGTGGACAAAGTGGAATTATACCTGCTTGTGCCTCTCAGGTGTTCTTGGATTTTTTGGAGACCGTGGATCTATTAAAAAATAACAATGCCTACTGTGTGGCACTGCCTTAAGGGTGCCGTCAACAGCATGTGAAGGGCCAGAGGCCTTTTGAGGTAATCACCCTTCTGCTGTCTTCAACATCGTAGTTAGACATGTGCAATATTAGCAAATCATTAACACTAATAAATTAAATTTTAAATGATGTGTTAGGAAACTCCACAGGTGATTAGGAGGACTCGCTTAAAGAAAAAGAAAAAAAAAAAGTAGGGTACTGCATTTTCTAATAAAACTGTTATCTGTCCTTTTCCCGTCTTGCTGAAGTTACTCGATGTCGGATTGGAGGCATACCCATACCTGCCAGAAGAGGCTGCAGATGCCACACAGCCACCAGTACAGATAACTCTTGGGCTTTCTGACAACGTGATATATTTTGAGGACCCTGTGATAGCCCGATGGGATCCTGTGGGTACGAACTTAGGACATAAATAAGTTTGAATAACAGAATTTCTACCTGCATTTGACTAATTCCAGAATCCAGCTGTAAAGATAAGAGCCAATTTAGAGCTCAGAAATAATTTGGGGACTTCAGTGTTAATTGGTTTGGGGTTGGGTGGTTTTTTTTGGTTCTGTTTTGCTTCGTAGCTAACAATGGACTGTTGAGGCTTTTTACTGTAGCTTTTTAATACGAATGGAAAAAATACACACCATCTAATGGGCAGTGGTACAACTGTATACCACAAATCAAGTTCTGCTATGGTAAAGCTGTATAAAATGCACCTTGAGTCAAATTAGCACCTAACTACATGTATTAGTATTAGGTTAAAATATGAAAATTAAACGTTAAAACCCAAATGTGATACTCTAGTTGTTAGCTAAGTACAATATACCCCTGACTTGACATTCATGAGTAGAACCTATTAACATGGTGTGATGTTTGAAGTTACTTTTGAAAATGAGCTTGTGGATAGCTAGGTAGCAAGTCAGAAGTGACAGTTGCATTAGTGTTTGTATTTCTTTTGAAATCAAGAAGCTTTCCTGTCAAAATCAGCCCAATCGTGTACTTAGACAATTAAAATAAAGGGAGTTTTTGCCTCAAATGAATTCTCTGTATTTTATGCCTAATACTCTACCTTAACTGTGAATATTAGTTACCCTAGGATGTCTTACTAACTAATTCTTCCCCAGCACACATCACAAGCAGAAGCTTTACATACACATCTTTGTATTTTTGCATCCTTTTATAAAGGCCAGCAGTGGAGAAGTGATGGCATCAGCAACATAACGTATGGAGCACAAGAAAAAAGCATCACCTTTGAGATGGGTGCCTTTTATACAATAGCACTTCTCCAGGATGCTCATCTCAATATGCCGTATCAGGCATGGGAATTGCGACCTACTGGTGTGGATGAAGCACTACTTACAGTTACTACAGTCTTTGCAAGGATTCAGATACAAATTAAGGTACTGTATGTAATTTCTTTTATAAAAACGCTTGCATATTTTGTAAAAAATATTGAATTATTACAGTGTCCTTTATTAAGGACTTGGGATGTTTCCACAAGAGCAATTTGAATCTCAGGCTGCACTGGTGAAAATAAGGAAGGATCTTGTCCTTTCTAAACACTGTAAGGAACAACATTGGTGATTTAATTTCAGTTGCTTTCTGTGAACTGGTCAGAAGAAAGCATCTGTGTGCTTGTTCTGCAAAGTTCCAGTAAGTACTTTGACATTGCTGATACTACCTTGCTGAATTTGAGACTGCTTCACCAGCTAAAAAATTGTTCCTCTCTCCTCCTGCCTAGCGAGACTGCTTCACCAGCTAGAGACTAAAAAATTGTTCCTCTCTCCTCCTGCCTACACCAAGAGCAATACAAGCATTGCAAGCAACCTACTACTGCTGCTTCTTGATCCTTCTAAAGGCTCAAGTTATGCTTGGTGATCCATATGCTCACTGCTGTATAAATCAGTTTAGTAACAAGATGTGGTTTTAGAAGAGTCAGTATGAGCACAGGCCAGCAGACCAGTGTCATTTCTGAAGTCCTACAGAAAAGTGGCTTTCTTCAGGCCAACATGGTAGATAAATGTATGCTATATCCAGCATAGCAAAGATATTAATATTTGATGCCTGAAGCAGAAAACGGCTTTCATGACCAGTTTTCACTGGTTTGTACAACAGGATAATAAGTGTATGTTGTCTTCAGTAGTGGTGGAAGAGAAGGACGTGCTTTCCCACATCACAGGAAAATGGCTAAGTCCAGTTGACCTAAGAACAGTTCTGAAAAAAGCTGGTGTGAATATTTTCCCAGGAGAGTCTTCTCACAAGTATGTCGCTGTGAACAAGAAGGTGAGTGCAAGAGTGGATGCTTTTCTTGTTGTTTTTTTTCCACCTATTTTTCACTTAAAATTTTCTTTGTATGAAGACCTGTTGTACAGAATCAGGTGGCAAGTGTTCAAGTGTTCTGACAGCTTAGCCAGTGGATTCTGGTTAAAGCAAGCTTTTTCTTACGTTTGTGTAATACAGGGAGTCAGACTGAATGCCATATGTTTTTTAACTTGTACTTTTGTGTTACAGGCTCCCCTAGCAGAAGGTAGGGCCTATCAACAGATGGCACTGGTCGCATCAGCTTTTGCTTTTGCCTGGAGCAAGTGGAATTTGGAAGCAGGTCAAGAGCAAGTAGTGTTCAAGGTTTGTAGATTTAGACTAAACTTCTAGAGAAAAACAGCATACAACTCTGCTACACCAATAGAAGGTAATTGTTTCTGTCTCTAAGTTGTGCTCATCTCAAACATTGTCTTCAGCCCCTCCCTACGCTCTCAGTGCTGCAGGTTTAAGATTTGGGGTTGACTGCTTGGCAGCATTCAGTGTGTGTCGGTAAAACTTCAGAGCCTGATTCTCTGCTCATGCGTTCGTGAGATCTCTAAGGGACGCACATCTCAGGAACAAAGACACTTGCTAACGTGCTGGGATGTATAACCAATAGGTCAGCTGTTCAGGCTTTGCCAGAGCTGCGATGATATATCTGGATGTTCCTGAAGTATCCTACTGTCCCAGGATCCTCTGAATAGCAATATCTGATAGGCAAGTTTTGTAATTAATATCTGGAAATTTCTCCTTGTCCATATGGGGTTTCATTTGTTTGCTAATGTAAAGGAGGGAATAAGCAAACTTAAATATTCATTTGTTTCCATCTGTGAATTAACACACATGTTGTTAAAACTTCACCCAGACAGATAGAAAAATACTCACAGGTGTAGCTGTAGATACAGAACATGCCATCCTGTTGAAGTCTTGAGCAGCTTTCCCTCTCTCTAGTTAAATGCATGTGACATACAAATATTTAGCCTAATACTTAATCCCCAGAGCAAAAACTAGAAACAAGTGATGCCTCTTGCACCCAGCCCTGCTCTCCACAGGAGTCAGGAGCAGCAGCTGGAGTGGCCAAACCTTGCGTTTTACAGAGGCAAACTAGACAGAGGATTGTGGTGGTGTTACAGTACCCAGTACACAGTGTGATATTGGTTTAGGAGTTCAAAGCAGCACCTTGGTTTTCTTTTTGGGTTGCACTCAGGAGTAAACTAGAATTTATACTCTGTCAGTATCATGGGCTCCATCTTACAGCACGTTTTTTTCCTGCGATAGGTGAGTGAGCATCTTAAAGCAGATTCTGTCAAAGACAAAGATTGGTCTCTTTACATGTTTAATGGTCAGAAAGCACAAAAGCTCAAGATCACTGAAACCAGCGAAGCTTTTTCAGAAGAGCTAGAAGATGATTCTGAATTTCACTCCACACTCTACCATATGCTTAAGGACCTTGCCAGCAAAGAAGCAATTGATAGAGTGGAAACAGCTGGCTTCCTGTTTGTTGATGTTGTGTATCAGTTGCTCCTCGCTACAAGAGTTTTAACATACTCTTAAATAGTGCATGCTTTGCTTTAAAACTTTATCAAAAGCTTTCAGTAAAGTTACATTTCAAGTCTTGAATCCTTTTCTGTTCAAATAATTGGAACAGCTTCAGTGACTAAAACGCAAGTGCTTTGTTAAAGCAAAATAGGTTCTTTATTCTCTTGTGGCTAGACCACTTAGTCGTATTTATTTTTAGCTACATTCAAAATTACTAACTGTTTTATTGTAAACCTGAACAGAACAGAGACCCTGTTAGGTACTTGTAAAGAAGACTTGTCAGAATGGGGCAGAAAATCTTTTTTTTTTTTTTTCCCAAGTCATGCTTTAAGGAAAAGAAAAAACCCACCCACAACCCAACAAAACAAACCCAAACGTGTAACCTTAAATATACTATCTCAGTTTCTCATACTCTCATCCAGAACTTGGAAGCGTAACTACAAAAGCCAGAACCTTTGTTATATTGGGGGCGGTCCATTGTGTTGAAGTCCTGTATATGGCCACAACAGCTGCTGTAGTGAAGTCCAGGAGTCCCCAGTTCCAACAGGTGCTGCATCTGCTGGTCTTTGAAGAGACAGCCCAGTGAGGAAGCTTGTAAGAGCAGCGAGCAGTACCAGAATGGAAACAGAAACCCAGAGGGTTTTGTTAGCATTGGAAAAGGAATTCTTGAAATGGGATGCCCACGATGACATTAAACTGCACCTGCACAGGAGAGCAAATCAGAGTGGTTCAGTTTGTCTTCAAAACTTGGAAGCCCTCTTTCCACCCCCCCCACCCTACTCCAGAAAACCCTAAAGCAAACCAGACCCCCACAAACAAACATCCAGGTCCTTAACTATCAAAAGAGATGAGGTTGTTGCTGCATGAGGAGCTATGTCTGGTGGGGTTTAAACTGCAGACTTCAGTAAACAAGTTCTTCATAAGCTCCTTAGGTGACTAACTCGACTCATAAGTCCACCTGTGCTCCCTGTACCACAGTTTCTGAAGAGGATTCACAAAAGCTGCCTTGCAAATCACCAAGAAGTCTGGCTTGTAGGAAACACTGAAAGTACTGGCCTTATGTTTCATTGTTTTCTAGGGCTTTGGTGCCATCCTTGAGGTTAGGGAGAAGTCTTACCCTCACTGACTATCCAAATCCTAGACCTCTCATGACATTGGGTACCTCCACCTTTTATCAAACAGGAAAAAAAAATTATATTTGGTTTTGCTGTCTTCTCAGTTATATATGCTAGCATACTTGTCTTGTCTCCCCATGGATCAGGGATGCTCACAGTGGGGGCTTAGCATAGGATATTCTTATGGAATAAACAATTTCTCTGCAGAGACAGCAAATACTTGAGAAAAGATGGTGGGAAGGTAGGGGAAGGGCTCTTTACATTAGTGTTGGGTGATAGAACAAGAGGAAATGGGTATAAGCTTAGTCAGGGGAGATTCAGGTTGGATGTTAGGAAGTATTTCTTCTCTGAAAGGGTTGTCAGCCACTGGAATAGGCTGCCCAGGGAGGTGGTTGAGTACCCATCCCTGGATGTGTTTAAGAATAGGGTGGATGATCTACTTGAGGATATGGTTTAATGGGGATTAGGGATGGTTAGACTCGATGATCTCTAAGGTCTTTTCCAACCTAGAAATCTATGAATCTATGAATCTCCTTTCCTGTAAGGCAGGGGCTTCCATGGGGTACTTGTATAGGACAGCACACTCTTCCTTGACATGAGATATCCAGAGAAATTAGCTGGAATAGTCTGGAGCTAGTCTTGATAACTACTTGTCTCAGCATGTGCCAAAGCTGCTGTTTTGCACATGCCTCAAATCCTTGATCGTTTTTATAAGAGTACATGTTAGCAGCTATCACAGAGCGACCAAAAGAGGTGAGATCATGGCATGAGGCTCCTCTTTAACTCTTCATGTAGGATTAGTAATGGATCACTGGTGGGGTAAATCTCTAGCACCCAAGATCACTCATTCCCAGTCAGCATTAACAACCAAACCAAAGCCACAGCTTTGCTTCCTTCTCCCATGCCCACCACCCAAACATTGCTTTACCTTGTGGAATTTTTTTGTGAGAAAACTTACACTGACTCTAGGTTCCATTTTGATGAATATTTTCCTTTTTCAGAGATACTTTCCTTCCTGGATGGTTCTTCTTGTGCTTCAGTAGGTGATTCCGTCTGCTCGTTTCTGAAAGCAAGCATCAACAATTCCAAAGCTCTTCCATCAGGCATTCAATTTGACAGAGCTCACAATAGCTTGCCTTTCTAGCCCTGAGCAGGTGGTGGACAGTTACAGGTTCGTTAACAACAAACCAACCAGCCCTGCACACACACCTCGGAGGGGGTTGCTGTTGAACTTACTTGGCTTCAGAATGTTCATCTTCATACTCTGCCCAGGAATACGTGCTAATAAACCGCTGCAGTGAAGGACGTTTCTCATTTTGCTTTGCTCCCAGTCGTCCCCTGTCCCAGTTTAAAGAAAGTTGCCTTGATTTCCCCATCAGATACATAGCAGGAAATTAGAAATTCAACAGCAGCCTAACTCATTTGGGTAGGCCTTAGACAAACGAGATTCAAAATTAATCACCTGAAATTCAGATTCTTTTTTAAAAAAACCCAAATCCATCAATGCCAGCTGCCTAGTTTTCATACTCTAGTTCTAATGCAAGACAGTCAAGGTAACTTTTTTAAAAAACAAAACGAAAGCTGTAATGTTTAGCCACAAAGGCTCATTTACCTATTGAAACATGTAAAATTAATGTGAAAAATGCAGCCTAAACATTATTACATCTCATGATGCTTCATAAGCTGCTTAATACAGGCACAGTTTCAGTCGAAAATATTTAGCCCTATTCAAAGACAAGCCCAAGTGACTTTACCAACTGCTTGATCTCCTGTTGAATTTATCACTCCGTTCATCTCCGTCAGGTTCATGGAGTTGGGCCTAGAGAAGAAGTTCGACACACTTACTGCTTTGGCATTTCCACGCTTCAGCCCAGCCAGTTCTGAGAAGGTAAAGCACCTCGCCATCTGAGAACCCTTACTTACCAGTGGCAACCCAGTACCTGCATTTCCAGCACTCCTAGGCAACGTTGCAATGCTAACTCTTCGAAGGGATGACAATGGCTATACAAATGAGAGGCATTACTGACTCTACCAAGGAATGACTGAATTACTCACTGATCACATAAAATTCTATCTGGTTTTATTCAAACAGTGTAAGAGATAAATGTTGACACTCAGCTTGAAGTGACACACAGAGAAGAATCAACTCAGCAGCACAGCCCAAACCATATTCTTTAATGCAGTGTCTTTCCACATTAACTGCTTTTCCCCTCCTGAGCATCCAAAGCGAGGCTAGCTACACAGCTTCCAGCAAAATACCGAAACCAAAGGCATCTAAATTCTCCTAATGATGCTCACAGGAATTTCTACAGCCTATTCAAATAGCTCACATCTATTTTTTTTCATCTCTCTGTGCTAAACCCTTGTTCTGTAGCCCCGATCATAGAACCATACGTGAATAATATTTCTCAGCCATTGCACGAGGGTGCAGCCATTTCGGCTTCCGTGAACACTTCATCTTCTAAGTGGGACCACATGCAGTTCCCTTGGCTTGGTGCAGGTGACTGAAAAACATATCTTCCTGTTTGATGACATCAGCCCATATTTGAGACGCAAAGCTACTAAGTCAAGCATGTAGCAGAGCACCGGCACATGACAAGGCAAAGAAAAGACACAAACACACACACTTTCTTAAAAAGACACTTGAAATTTCATGTGAGGTTGCAATGGCCATTACCTTAAAGTTAAAAGAGTTCGGTAGCTTTTTATTCGTAGACTCATCTGTGAAGAGATCAAACAGCAGAAAGGCTTACAGGAACGCAGCGAGCTTTACTTGCAAGTGAAGCTTTGACTTTTGGCAGTGTCTGTTTAAGCAGAGAGTCTATCAGAGTACTCTCAGAAAGCAGAAATGAGATTTCTGAAAAAAGCTTCCTATTTCATTAGGTAAGTTCATAATATTCACACTTTGTGCATCCTCTATACAAGCATCAATTTCTGCTGCTATCATTAAACGTAATCTCCTATTATCGAGGCAGTGTCCTGTTACAGGACAATCTTTTGCAGTCAGGAAGGAACAGCCCGTGATACAGAAGGCTCCTGCGAGAATTTTACTGGTGAGCAAGACCACTCTTTCTGGTTTTAATACACATGGTCTGTTTTTCAGAAGAATTTAGTCCTTCTCTGGCAAAGTTACAAGCACACAGCACCGTCTGAAAACCCGACCACTGTACCATCTGCTTATAGAGGGGGAAACTCAGAGCAACTGCACTTGAGGAGTCTTTAATTCATATTTAGAAAAGAGCAGGAAGCATCTGTAGAGAGCAGTCAAAGCTCAGCTACCTAGAAATAGCTCCTGGGAATGCTCCAGTGTGAGTGAGCATCCACAGTTACTGCTCACAAGAAATAAGATTATCACCAACACATGCAATGCCCCACTTTTCTAAAAGCCAGAACATTACTGCACACTTGGAACGTTTCCCCTCCCACCCTGAGATGCATGACAGTTTACATACAAGTCTCATTTCAGAGAATCCTTTCTAATACTGTTAGTAAATTGCTGGTTTTTTCCTCTATTTTTAGGAAAGGAGATACAACAGTCATGGAACCCCTCCACCTAATATGTTAAGGTTCAAGTAGATAAGGGTTTATCTGGTAGGTGCTAGAAAGGGGAAAGACAACGCAGCTTTACCTCGATCTCCAAGAGAACCAAAGGATCTCTCATTCTGGAGCAGGACCTGTTTTAGCTCCTCGAGTTCTGCATGTTCCTTTGCGTACATGCGCTTCAGGTTTTCCACATGTTGAATCATGACTTCCACAGCCTTGCTGACACGGCTCTCCTAATGGAGAGAGTGCAACAGCAGTAGGAAAAAGAAATGGCTTTTTGAGGAACTGCATCGTGTTTAGAGTTTAAGGCTTCCTCCCCCCTCCCCCTTTAACTGTCTACTCTCATATCACCACGATGCAACATCCTCTCGTTTTCGTCTACTCCTTCAAAGTTTCACTACAATCCACCTCTCAACATGTGCCTAAGTTACACAGGTCACATTTCACCAGTGATTACTCTTATCCTACAATAAATTAGTCTTCGTTTTCTGAGCCCTTACAACTCCTCCTCATCTCTTTCTCTGATTTACAGTCTCAGCTGCCACCACGCATTTGCTGGTATTGCCAAGTCGTATTTTCATGCTGTTCTTTGGCATTATACACAGTTACACATAACGTTTGAGCAGGTCTTTGTAAATTTCCACGGATTTAACTTATTAGCAACCCTTTCTATGAGGCACAGAATTACCATTAGTGCACCAAGACTATTGTTACTGCATTGCATTCTTGTGCTCTCTACTGTATGCATTCCTCTGATTGCAAAGTTTTTTCAGCATTTTTGTTTGTTTGAGGTTTCGTTTTTTTTGTTTTAAACCAGGATCATAGTTCTGTTGTGTGATTTTTGCACAATGCCAGTGAAATGTACCTGCTCTCACAGTGCCTGGGATTCCTTATAACACCACAAACAGTGATCTGAGAGGAGAAAGCCAGGACTAAGCTGTACTGGTCAGTCTGCACTACATACATGAGATTCTCAAATCTAATTCTGGAATCAGAAGCCTAGAAAGAGATGCTGCTATCCCTTTACACCTAGAAGCTTTTAATTTTGTATGAAATACATTTACATGGAAATGGTTACCTGGTTAATAGCTCCCAACATCTCTGCTTTACTGGCAACTCGGGCTGCATATTGGCTAAGGAACTGCAAGCTTTTTTGCAGCTTCTTGATAATCTCCTGTGCTTGGTTATCTTCTTCACACAAAGGAAATAAAGCCTAAGAGACACATTGGCAAGAAGAACAGTGTGAGCTATTAATAGAGAAAGAAGGGTGAACCCAACTGATGACACGGAGGGCTCACGTTCATGCCTACACAGTCAGGAGATCAGCATCTAACGTCCTCTGTTAGAGTAACTTGATACAGACCTCCAGTGGGCAGAGGCTTCTGTTCAACTAGCATAAAATCAGCTGAAGATAAGGGTTCTTGCCAGATGTTTGTGCAATGGAAAAATTCCCCACTGCCTGAGTGCTCAATACGCTCGGATGAAGGTTACCCCTCAAATGCTAGGTCTCATATTTCAACTGCATCACTTGAGAACTTCGTTCGGATTTGCTTATAGTGTGTTACACCCCTCCCCCCCTAAAAAGGGCGATATTAGAGACATTTTCACAACCGTTCATCCCAGCCACCCTACCCACCTTGGCCAATACTAACCTCTAACATCTTTAGAGCATTTGTGATCTCCTTTTTCAAATTTTCTTCAGCCAAGTCTCGGGACCTTTCTTCAAGCCTCACTCTTTTGTCCAAGGTAAACAAGTCACATTTAAAACCTAAAGACAATCTCAGAAATTCAGCCTGTTGTGGGAGAGGAAAAGATTTCAAAATAATCCAGGTGATGCAGACACTGTTAAAGTAGATCCGGATACTGACATGACATTTGAGAATATACACCAAAGTTACAGGAGAGATAGAGAAGAGAAAGCAAACACGGCCCACTTCCACAAAGCCAGTCTTCCCATCCGTAGTGATGGGGGAAATAATCTGGTGGTATCCTGGCAGCATGCAGTGTGCCATCTGTGTCTTCTGACAAAACTGTCTTCAATCAGCACGTTCTGCCTGGGAGGAGGTCACAGCTATGCTCCTTCAAGCTTGCAAACAAATGTTTTAGTAGTGACAAATCTTTTGTTCGCTTTCATGCTTTCACAGATTGCCACCCTTTCCCATCCCATCTCTTCCAAAATTTCCATTGGGCTTGGAAAGACAGATTTCAGATGCCAACTTCTAGAAATACATCCAGTTTAAGCTACTCGGCATCATTCTTTTATATAGGACAGGATCTTGTCAATCAGAGCTTATTGACAAGATCTTTCTGTTGTCCAAGATACTTAAGGATACAAGCAGTCAAGACGTACCTCCACTTCTTTCTCATTAGGAGAGTCACTGTGGGATAAGAAGCAGCAATGATGTAAGAGATGGCAGCTTTAAGCTCATACCTGCAGGTGATCACAAACTCAAAACACTTACGGCTCATTTTGCTTTGTTTTATCTGCTTTAATGCCACCTGCAGTGGGTGAGCTCCCTGAGAAGAAAGGAAAAAAGTTCTCAGACAAAAGTGAAAAAACAGCCTCACAAAAACAGCTTATGAAAGCCTTTTCAGGCTCCAGCAGAAGCCACTGTTGAAGACTTCCAGTGTTAAGCTCTTGCCAACAAAGCCAATTTGTGTATCTTGGGGTACAGTAGGGTTAGCATCAGTAAGACAGCACAGCACTGTCACTTGTACAAAGTCCCAAAAGTTAATTGTTTAAGTGCCAGTTGAAGCCAACTAATTAGCACTGGAATAGTTAATAAAAAGTTTTTAAGTACCCAGCCCGTAGGTTCAGGATGTTACGTGACTTACTATATCATTAACTTTTAGTTAACTGCAAAGACAAAGAGAGGTGATTAGAAGAATAACCATGTCTAAGCACAGTTCAGGAGAAACATCATCCTGCTCGTCTATGTCATAGTACCCCAAGCTCCAGCTAACATAAAGCATGATGCTTTACAAATCTTTGGAGAGAGCAAGCATGCCAGAACCGTTTCAAATATCCTAACCCCATTGCAACTCCTAAGAAGTTTTCCCTCTTGTCTAGAAGATGATGGAACTAGTTAGATCAGTATCTGTAGAAATCAGAGAAGCAGGTTTTGCATGATAATGTTTTCCTTCTCTCCACTGCTAATCCACTTTGATCTCTAACTGCAGCTACTATTTCTTGTGGAGCAGGCAGCTCCCTGCACCACTTTGCACAGGTCTTGACACAAGCCACCAAGGCATGCACTCCAGTGGGTTACGTGAATGTGTTGAGCCAAAACTTCTTACCTTTCTTACTGGGAACGACAGCTGATGCTTCGTCACTCCGCTCTTTATTATTTTTCTTTTCCTGGTGCACCTCCTAAAGGCATATCACAGAGAGCAGTTATAGCAAAGGAACAGACACGACGCCACCGGAGGGGCCTGTCCCTCTCCTGCAGCATTTTTCTGTTACTGCTCAGCCAAACCAGTTCCATGTTTCACTGTCACTAGAACTCTTACCGGGTCTTGCTTTAAAGCATTTTGAAATGTAGTTTTGTGTTCTTCCATCATGGGGCGGAATTCCTTCTTGGTCAGATCCGCTCCTGGGGAGAAACATTCCCAAAACCAAATGTAATGATAAAAACAAAACAAGCCCCCAACACACAGTGCACTAGCCATGGACTAACAGGGCTAAAAAAAAAAAAAAAATTGCAGCAAACACCAGGAGAGGGCATTAAGAAGGAGAGGCAGCAGCAAAAGAACACTATGAAGACATAAGGGAAGAAGTGGGATGATAATCATGCTTGAAAAAAAAAAATCCCAATAAGAAGCGTTACCTGTCAATAAGTCAGACTATTATTCCTGATTGTAGTTGCTCTACTTGAAGTTGCAAAATTAACAGTAATATTCCCTTGGATAAATTAATTTAATTATTTTGCTACCAGTATGGGGGTTTTTTATTTGTTTGCTGTTTAAAGAGACAGTTTATAATTAATTTTTATTTGGAATTCTATAAGCACAGGAATATGTGAAAACAAAGTCTCATGCACAAACTAACAGGGAAGCAATGAGTATTTGTAATTCTCTTCTTTCGTGCTATGGAATATGAGATGAAGTTAAGAAAGAGATGCTGCTTCAGCTCCTGTTTCAGAGGAGCTTGAGCATGGCCAGGTTGTGAAATGCATGCAGTTGTGGTATTTCAGGTGTCCCTAAGCTTCAAACACAGTCTGACCCTTGGGCTGTCGTTTGTACCTAAAAACTGAACTAGCAGGGTGTCGACAGAGCCAACGAAAAAGAGCTCTCTTTGCCAGAAGATGGGTAGTAACAAACTGGTAAGTTCAGGAACAGGTGATGCCAGTTCAAATGTAACACAAACTTTCGAAGGCCACAATTTAGAGAAGCTTTAAGGCAGGCAAAAATAGCCTCCAGAAAGACACCTATTAAAAAGATTTTTGAAGGAAAATATTTAAGAAACTGAAGAAAGTCTGAGAGTAAAACTAATTTCTTGTGTAGCAGTAACTCTGCTAGTTATGTATACATTTTAGAATATCTTGATTTTTTTTTCTTTTTTTCTGTTTGTGTAGTCATACACACACACCCACACAGATGCAAGCCAAAGAAATGACACAAGAAAAAAAAACAACCAAGCCTTCAGGTTTGAAGTACTTTCTCTTTTCATCCTTCACATTAACATCATCCTCTGCCTAGCTCTCCCTCCTGTCCCTGCTGATTTTTGCAGCAGCCCTACTTATTCTGACCTGGCTGTCAAGCACCTTTACAAGACATTGTGTGTTGCTAGCAAAAACCACAAGTGGAGCTCCATCAATGTCTCTGTTCTAATATTAGACACACTTACTATTTTGAGATGTACAACAGGCAGCAGGATCTCAGACTTTAAAGCTATTTGAACTCTTTCTGATCTGTTTTGCATATCTGTTTCCTCCTCGCCAAAGGCACCTAGACCACGTGTGAAAATTAACTGCAGAGGCAAATTAGTAGAAAGAGCATAGGCTTAAGCAAGGGGACTAAGTTAGATGTCAGGATGATAGTACTAAAGAAAGAAACAAAACCAAACAAGAAATGACGACAAAAAGTCTTATATTTAGGTAAAGGTTAAAAAAGTGGTTACAAACAAGCATGCACATGTATCCTGTGCTGCTTATTCAGATCAGTTTTTTTTAAAAATAGCTTAAATGCACTGTGTACGTGTACTCCAGGTCTGTTTTGCTTTTAGTTTTTAAGTGAAAGAAGCACCATCAGATCTGGTAATAATTATTCTGGGTGTTCATGGCTATAGTAAAAGACAGAGCCACACACAAGGGCCTCTATCCTCATCTCTCTCCTTGACTCATCCCAGCTTCTTGTGCTCTGAGTGTCAGTTTCAAAAGACAGAAATGCATTATTTAGCCTAGCTAGGTGTCAAACTTTTTAAAAACCATGAAAACATTCTCTTTCCTCCCAAAATTGCCCAGGGTTTAGTACCCACCCAAGCAAGCATCAAGACTTCATTAAGTTATTTCATGTTTACTTCTTGCAGTCCCGTGGGCTGCCAAGCTGCCTGTAGGTAAAGTAGGTAAAGCCTTATTCCTAGTCAGAGTCTCAGGGAAGGCTGAGAACACTTGCAGGTGAAAATAACTGCAAAGCCAGAAATTCACGAGTCATCATTAACTTATTTTTCTTACTGAGCTTCCTCACTTCAAAGATGTGCTGGAAGCAAGCCATTTCCTCACTGTGTGAGTGCCCATGTGCTGCAGCAGTTAGTGTACCTGATACAGGACCAGGCAGATCCTTATTGTTGTTTTTCTCCATTGCTACAGAAGTTGGCACATCTTCCTCTCTTTCATGTGAGGACTTGGTTGATTTTTCCTCCATAACCAGATCACCTATAATATCAGGCAACAGAGGACAGAGCTCTTACTGTTCGGTAAATGCACAGACTTGAGCTTACCTATTCCCAGCAATTTCAGTGCAAAAAGTTCACACATCCATGCTCCAAATTAACAGCTTACCTGTTACTGGTGCCGTGCTTTTCAAAGAGGATGTAAGAACTTCTTGGGGTGAAGTTAAGCGATCACTGTCAAAAGAAAATTCTTTCAGAGACTCACCCATACTATACAGTCTTGACAAAGGCTTTTAAAAGCTTGCACAAAACCTGACCTGGATGGGATCAGACTGGCTGGTAGTATTGGCTCTGTACAGTCAATCTTAATGGAAAGACAGAAGAGTTAGTATCAGGGAAAGGGTTGTCATGTGAGTAGAAAATTTGTATATCAAAGTTTCAATAATTCCCCAGCTGTGCCTAAATCATTTCAGCGGTGAAGAACTAGATGGTAAGCACATGCAGATTCATCTGCTAGCCTAAAGCCACCCATACACACAGTATGCAGTTTAGCACGTTATCTTCATGAGGAGCGATAACTGCTTCTGCAGAAATTGATAACTCTGTTTCTGCAAAAATCTTATCTCAGGAATACCATACTCAGAGATGTATTTTGGTTCCTGACTTCATGTTTTGCTTCTAACACGTTTTCAAATGACCCATGTACATGTTGCTACAGCATTGTTCTATTTTAATGCTATGCATCAAGATACATCCATTTTCAAGGTCTTGGCCTCAAGCGCCACCAGTGAGGTGCACAGAGCTTGACTTGGCTATAGATACCTGACTTGCTCAGGTTAAAAAAAAAAGCATTTCTATTGACAGCTCCAGAGAGCAGATGGTGCAGAACACAGGAAACTCGCATGTTGTGTTGCACGTTTTAGTATGTGTCTTTGAATGACGTTAGTTTTCAATATTATCTATTTACCTAACCAGTTCAGAAGGCATCAGGCCTCTTCCTTCGCATGCAAAGAGCAGAGAGGAATTCAGCAGCTAGAGGCTGGTACGGAGTTTTGCTTATATCCCTTTAGCCACTGCATTGTGGTTCTGGACTTGAGTCTTATCACAGACGAAAATGACGTCCTCCTAAGTCTTTTAATATGGCAAGGGAGATACTGAATGGAAAAGATTACTCTTCCTCATTTCACCCTGGATAACTCCAGCTTGCCTATTCAATTGACAGATTGGTGAAAATACAGGGTGAAACAGAAGTTTAAAGGGTTAAATTGGTAATGACTTGTGATGAACTCCACCCACTACTGAAGAGGAGTGCTGAATAGAAAAAAAACAAACCCAAACCTATCTCCAAGGAGAGAAGGTGTCAGGCTAGCCAGCTTTCCATAGCTCCCTACATGCCAAGCGTCCAAGAGCACTACTCAAGTTGGGGGTAATGCAACGGGAAAAACTATATGGGCAAGTTATAGTCTACATTCTGGTATCTTCCCTTCCCCCTCAAACATCCTCAAGAAGACCCAAGAAATCCATCAGAATCGAAAAGGAGGTGACCAAGGGCCCGGGCCACTTCTGAGAGCAACCGCCTGCTCCCAGGACCAGTAAGTGCCTTCTCTCTCCTCTCTACTCCTCCGACCATCAGAGCTTGACTGCACTCGTAGAGCCTTGCCCCAGCCAGCTGGATGTTTCCTCTAATGCAAATCCAGGCTATTTTTATTCTTATTTGAATTATCTATTAAGCTTAAGGAAGTAGAGAGCATTGCGTTTGCCTTGTTCAGGCCATTAGGTCTACAGGAGTACTGGGGGAAGGAGAGAGTGAAAACGAATAGCATGTTGGAATGAAAACAAAAAGAAATCTAAAGGGCTTTTAAAACAAACACACACACACACACACACACCCCCCCAAACAAGCAAAAAAACCTGGCATGACCTAGAACTTTTTAAAGCCATACATTATTCTACACAGCCTCCTCCTGGCAATCATATGGTCAGTGGTTTCTGTTTGCAGTGAGGGAAAATCCTTAATTCAGTTTTTGAAACCCCATATTGACTACCGGTATTGTGAGCTCCCAGGGATTGCACAGGGTACAGTTGAAGAGAAACAACAAACACAGAAATACCCACATTCTAGGTTTCCTAATCTGTTTGCACTGGACATTAGTCAACAGTTCTTCCTAACAAAAAGATTGTGTCAAAGAAGATCCTGCAGTACAATCCTAATCACTTTTCCCCTTCTCTATCCCTTTGATTAGCATAATAATCCAAGGATCCTCTATCACAACAGATAAATTCTGTCCACAGTCCTGTATAACTCCTCCCAAACAAGCATTAACATTTAGAAGGCTCATCATCTGGTTTTTAGACTGTCGTATGACATTTATAAATCAAAACAAGCATAAAAAGCCCAAGCTTCATCTGGCTCTCACAAGAGCTCCTTTAATAAATAGCCACTAAACTCCTACTGTGACAATGCTTTGACAAGATAATTTGAGTTACTTACACGTTGAAGGGCTCGATCTGCTCAAACACATCTGCAACCACAGTGCAATAAAAAAACCTAGGGAGACTTTTCCTTTTAAACAAGGATATTCAAATTTTTCTGCACGTCACAGTTTTTAGGACAGACACTGGACACATCCCGTTTGCTTTTTCTCTGGAGCAAGCTTTAACATTTTCATTTTCCCACTCTAGAATATTCACATGGAAAGTTTATATAACAAAAAAGGGCAAAAATGGAAAATGACATTTCTGAGCCCAGCTGGAGTTAGAAAA